AAATTGGAAATGTTAGCTAGCTCCAGGTATTCCAACTTGTACGTAAATAAAGTATGATAGTTGCTGATAAAACAGAATATTCTAAATTAGCTTAATAAATATATTAAACAATAGAAACTGTTATGCTCGTCAACTGATATGCCTGAAAGTACTACGAATTCACCTTAGTCGGCACCCACGATAGAAGAAGACAATGATCATAGTACACGATAGCTAATCTAATCCAAGCGTCCCAAGGCCCTACTAAGGAGGCAAGAAGTCTTGATATGCGTAGAAAGTGTATTCTACAAACACCCAGAAAATATGAGGTTTAACAAGCACATAAACCGGGTTTATTTATACATGATAGAAAGTTGCTTGAGAGAGCCACAAAAAATAATCCTGAAATAACACATTAACCAATGACTGTCAAGAATTTTCCTAGTGGGAAATGTAATCTCAAGGTCAAGTGATCAGCTCATGCGCAACAGCATGAAATCCTAAATAAGGACCTTTAATAAATGAGTTCTGGGGATCTAACTTTCCCAACAGGGACCCAAGACACCTAGTTATTAGTAATGCAGTGATAAGTCCTCTTTCACACAGATATTCAGACCAAAATTATTTCAAGTACTCAACAGTGATTGTACGTGATTATATGATCTGAGATACCAGCTGACTCACAATGGATGTGTTGTTATATAGAAGTTATTTAAGGTTATACATAAAACCATGAAGACCAGGAAAATAATTTCATTTAATAGGGAAAGCATTTTCAAAGGAAATTATGGTGGCATTTATGATATGTCAAATAATACATGAACATTTCATTAGATTTTTTTATGGTTGTGCATTATCCATACTGGGTGGTTGAATGCTAGCGAATATTTTGTTATTCTAGACAATAATATCCTTGGCATTAATTTATTGTGGATTGAACTAATAAAGATTATTCCGGAAATCCCATATAAATCCAGTATAATAATTTTTTTTACAGGTGATCTTTGTCAAATGCTTTACCTTCACATTGTCAGTTTTGTTAGCTTGATGGGGGGGGACTCTAACATGTATATGACAAACTCGTAAACTGGATTTCTATCGATTATCTTTTTGATTATATATCACTCTGACTGATGATCCCCCAGAAATAGATTAGCACTTTTTTAAAGTTTCATTGATCAATAATTTCGAAATATCACTCTACATGCCTCGATATGTGAAACGATTAATTGTGTTGTTCAGCTGTTGTTAACTTATGGTTATGAGTATGTGGGAGTGAATACTCTAATACTATGCTATGCCATTTACAATTACCGTGATTTATCGTGTTAGTAAGGTTGAAAATTGTCTTATTTCATTAAAAACAGATACAATTTCAATACTATGAAACAAATAAAATTGCCAAAATCATCATATGATAAATTCCACTAACGGGAAATACGCATTAAAGTATAAAACAAAAAAAAGAGTTATTCAATAAATGAATTCCCAGAGTTAGTTGTACAACTGTAAATATATAGATCTTTTACACCATGATAATTGATAATATTTATTTGAAAAATAGAAATTATGAACAGAAGAGTTATTTATATTTTAATGAGGACACTAAAGATTTACTTCTTAAGACATTGAATGCTCATCAAGAATACCATAGAAGTCAGATAAAGAATAATCGTTATGAAAATGAATTGAATGACATGATAATTAATATAGAGTAGTGGAACGGAAATGAAATACAATCAGAAATTGAATGTGTAACAAAAATAAGTTAGGTTCTCAGTTTAGTAATATGATAGAGAGAATAATGGCCTCGAAAATTATTGCTTAAGGCAAGTTTAAACTAGCTTCGTTCGTGTCTATTGTTACGGTTTCTTTATTGCTTATTTCAGAGATTTGCAACGTTTATTCTTATCGACAATTCTTGGTGCATATTTATCTTCGGTAAGGCTGTGTTTCTAGGTTTGATTTTTTATCTATGACAAGGTCTACAAATTCATCGAATGGGTGTGACACAAGACACCATTAACTTTCTATTCCTTTTTATAGAGCTCTCAGTGCAGAAACGTGTTAGCTACTTTAATTCGATGGGGGTTCCTGTGAACAGATCTTTCATAATTTCTCCCTATATACTACTTCATATTATGCCTGCTTCACTTTCAATGTTTTATGATGGCAGGGTTTGTCTATGTTTATTTTAATAAATAACAGACATTTTAGAGATTATCTTCTAAAACTAACCACACTTATGATCATGCAAAATTATTTTTTTAAAAAAGAATAAGACAACAAAAATCACTAGTTCAAATTAGGAATAAATTAACGTGCTTATTGTGTATGAAAGTATAATTACTTATTTTATAATGATACCACCATCTTAATCATCACGTAATTCTATATGTTACGCAATGAAAAAAAGAAGACAGCCATTGAACAACCAGACAGTATATTTTGTCAGAGCTTATAATAGTTCACTAATAGATTCAAAAAGATTAGACAATTCTTTTGTGATTAACTCAGATTATCTTTAATACTATCAACTTTAATCTGTATAGACTATTATCTTCATTTAAATGACAAGATTTCTGGAAAATCAATTTGAATTTTGATTGGATGATATTTGATCATTGATTCGCAATGACATTGAACATAATCGGGTTTTTTTCTTTTGATGAATTGAATCAATAAATTATTGTTGATAATGCAAGTTGATTACATTGATCAATTCACCAACAATGATGCCAGAGTAAAAAAAATTTTTTATTTTTTGCCAGATAACTCTAGAACTTCAATTGAAATTCAAAAATCAACAAAAACAATATAGGCGATTTAGTGAACAGTCAATAAAAATTTTAAATGTATTCTATACAGCTAAACAAATCTATGATCCTTTATACATTTATTGGCTGCTTCCAATTCATTTTGCATTGAACAAAGATTATATGCATGAATTAATTAAACATTTCCCCGATATACCATCAAAAGATTCCATCAATTCAACTGATGAAGGTAATGTTATTTGTGTTTATGAATAGTGAATGCATTTTTATGTTGATAAATTGATCGATCACTGAGTAGTAAATAGTCTAGTCTGTAGTGCGAATCAGATTTTGTCTATTTAGTTGGAATTCGGTTATTATACTGATTGATTTGTTATTATGTTTCACTTAGTTTGAAGTTAGATGACTGGAAAAAAGTGCATTATCATTGTGAAATAGATATTAGATAGTTATTATTCATCAAAAAGTTAAATCTAAGATCGATCACTGTTGAATTAATCTGTCTTAGGGGATTCGAACCCACTTCAAATTTTAAAATATGATGAAACTTTCAGTAAATGCATTCATAGTAAAATATAAGGAAGCATACATTACACAGCATAGAGAAAATGTCGTAGAAGTAAATTGAGACATTTTTAGGCATAGTGTTTTGTTAAGCATTTCACTAAGGTTTATTCGTAAAATGTTTTACAATAAGGTTACTAACCTCAGTCAGATTTGGAAACACATAATTTATGTTGAACCTAAGGCTTAGAGTGGTGGCTGAACATAATTCTAACCTTGGGATTAATAGTACAATGAATCAAAGAATTTTTAACAGAATAATGTCATTCTGGTGAAGTAGTCCAATAAATTCTATGATGCATATGGTCGACATGGAAAGAATAAGTTAGGTCAACTTTGGTGTCTTTCGACTTCATAAAATTAGCAAAACGTTTCAATAAACGCACGAAATGACGAGGAAATCAGCAAAAAAGCTTTGATCAAACAAAACTCACAAAACCGTTGCGCAATCTATTTTAGCTATGCCTTTAAAGAAAATTTTATTTAACTGATAAATAATTACACCAGTAATTAGGATGTATTGTTTTTATTATTTAATCCCATAATAAAGTTAAACGTTTCAGTGTTCGTGAAAAATCACCTTCTCATAGAAGAAATCTCAGTTATCTCTGTAATGATGTAAAACTCATCAGCAATGTTGTAACAGGTCATGTAACTGACAACGATCCATTTCGAAATTTAACTTTTTTAAGTATGATGTATACCAGTTTGTTTGAAAATGGTCATGATTTCATTACAGAATTTTTTGTGTTGATTCCAATCCTGAACAATATCTACAAGTATAATCGTATTCTATTTGCTTCCTGAAGAATGAAAACAAAAAATGAACTTCTCTCAAATTATCTAAACAAAATTTTATGTACGGTATGGGGGAAATGTTGGGGATGTTAGATCCCCAGAACTCGCTTGATAAATGCCTTATTTTGGATTTCACGTTTGCGAGCATGGGCTGATCAGTTGACCTTGAAATTTCATTTCCCACCAGGAAAATCCATGGCTGTGATTGGCTGCTGTGTGTTTTAGTGTGCTATTTTCGTAACTATCCCATGGACATCGTTTCTATGATGTATAAATAAACGAGAGTTGTGTGCTTGATTGTATTGTGATTTCTGGGTGTTTGTAGAATATACTTTCTGGGCTTACAAAGCCTTCTGTCTTCAGCTTGGGATTCAAGGTAGCCTATCTGGACGCTAGTAATTGTCTCGTTCGCGTTTATCGACTAAGGTGAACTCGTAATAGCTTCAAGCGTACCTAGTGACGAACATATCAGGAGACCAATTAGATTAGCAAATAGTAAATTCCAAGCTCTTCAAATTATCCAACTGTAATTATTCAGCATCACGTGAACTAGTGAAAACTGATGACTACTTTACACTTCATGTGTTAGTTGCTCAAATATAGTCAATCATTCTTTTTTTTCTGACATCCACAAAGTATAAATTGATATGTTAGCTCGTGAAAGTGTCAGAAATCCAAAAACCTATTTGATAATTTTTATTTTAGGTGTACAAATCTATTCATTCGGTTTGTGTCTGAGTTTATTTGTTGATATAATGAATAGAAAATATGGATTATATCATACTCATATTAATAATATGATAGTAAAGGCAATAAACAATATGCATAAACTTCAATGTGTTCAACATATTCGCATAGTTCACAAAGAATTTATTCTCAAAAATTCTAACACTGATTCTAGCAAAAATTTAGAATTTGAAGTAAGTTTTGAACTTGGTACAAATGATGTTTTTAATAAATGCTTTTTCTAAATAAACAAAAACATTGAAAATCTTACAACAATAATAATCATTATTTATTGAATGCAAATGCAGCGTAATCAAATAAAAGTCTGAATTTGATAAGTTTACGTAATCTAAGTAACGACTGAATAATCATGTTTATAGAGCACGACTATTTCATAATATATTTTACTGATTTCTTTTCTCAACTGCATGGAGGTTCATGAATTAATTTTAAGGGGTCAGTGAAGGATATGGAATTTCCCGTGTCCAGCTACCAAAGAATCGAAGCTGGAAGTATTTAATCGTTTAGAAAAATCATACTAAAAATATGAACAAATGCTTGCTTTTGTAACTTTTTATGTTAGGATTTATTCTGTGGCAGTAGTGATGACTAATACAAGTATCGCTTAACAGAATGACAAGTAAATCAACCACTAAATTATAAAACATGAGCTACATATAACAACTATCTACAGTAACAAGAAGAGAATTCGTGGCGATGGATATTCGATATATTCTTTATACTGCTCGTCCTGATAACCGACACTGGATACCTCTCAACGGTGTGTACAATTCAGAAGATGAATACGAAGTGTTGATAACGTCTACTATCACATTATACTGATCATAAAACTGCAGGCGTACAAAGCGAAAGCGAAATGACATGCGAATGTTGAAGTGCAAATGAATAGGATGAAAGTTTACATATACATATAAGAAAATGAATGAGTCACCGAATTACTTAAGCAACTAATTTTAAAGTTAATAGAATGAATATGTACGTAGACTGTAACCCGTGCTCAAGTATACATGCTCATACATGGGTCACGATCATAAAAGCGCTATGGTATGGATAAATTGTTGTTGTTGTTCCAATGACGCTATCTAATAAATAAGTTAATAAAGTGCTTAACCAAATTAAACGTAAACTTGCTCAAATGTATGTGTGGTACTATAAGTTTTTCATCCATACTTTTCTCCTAATAACAATCATAGTATTAATATTAAGCAATCCTTTTTAAAGTAAGACCTTCAATAAACCTCAAAACACTTGAACGTCAAAGGAAATTAAATTCAGATAACATTTACTGATAAAATCAAGTTTTGAAGAGTTTTATAAAATATACTCTATCAATAATGCACTGCCATCTGAATGACTTTTGACCTAATCACTTGCTATAAGCTTCCTATTAATGTCTCTTACAGTTAAGGGATTAACGATGAAATAATTACAATGTTCTACAGATAATGTTTATACGAATAAGATGCATTGAACAGTCTCCAGACCACTATGAATGTCTCACTGGTGCTGTTAAGCTCTTGTAACAAAAAATGTTAGATAAAATTACATTAGTTTCGATTACATTTTACTTTATACAATTCGTTACATCCATTAATTTTTTAAAACTAAGAGCTTGGTGAATTTTATTTTGTAAATAATGTGCTACCATATATCTAGGCATTTATTATAAGTAGTTTCAACCATTGTCATATCAAATAATAAATCTGAATGACTGTGTTTCTCCGACACTAATTATCATTTCTATCATTATGTCTTATCTAAAGTGTGCAAACAATTATACATTGAAAGTAGGAGATTAGCCTGCGTATAACTATAAAAAATAGTTCCAATTGGAAGACTGCTTGGATACTATTCTATAGTTTATCTACTCGATATAAAACTAAAAATTGAAGTTTTCGCGTTATAATTATCATAGCTAGGAGAAGTAACAATGTAACTCTATAAGAGTTACACAAAAACTTGATCTCATGGTAATGATTATTTTAATTAATATTTAAATAAATTATTATCATTATTGCTTTATATTCAATTAATTTAAATCAATACAGGAGGTATTTCAAAGTCAAATGATGAACGTGAATGATTTCGATACCGGTGGAAAATCGAATACAGTATATGAAAGTGAAAACTCATATCTTCACAGATTTTTAAAACAATGGTTCAATAAAGTAATTGAAAACATTGAATATTTATGTTTGACTTATTCATAATTAAGGTAGAGAATTAGGTTATGTACCATTTTCCTTGAAAATTATCTTCAAAATTCTGTAATACCAAAAAAGGGATAAATTCTTTTTTTTCAACTAACTAACAAAATCATATGTACACTTAGTAATCATGGTATAAAATGTATGTTGGACACTTTACAGCTTTCATTTTTCCTCATTTAAGATTTTCTGTCCAAATATTTTTACAGTAATGATGTGATAGAAATTTTCTATGAAGCCAGCAGTATTAATCAAAATTAGAAATTTGTACCCATGTGTACCCAGTAGCCTAATGGTTAAGTACCTTTGAGTTCTGGGTTCGATTTCACGAGCTACTATGGGTGTTCATTGGTGAGGATTTATGTAGTGGAGTAAAACAGCTACACCATGCTCGCTGGTTTTCTATCACAATGCAATTGAAGTCAATCCATATCAAATACCAGCTAGAAATTATTAAAATTGCAGACTGAAATCGTAAATCAAAGGCGAAAAATTAAACAATGAGTAATCAAACGTTAAAACCAGAGATATTTAATACTAAACTGATAATATATCAGAACAGAATTAGAAATAAAGTCATAAAGTTTTAGAATACCTATCTATGTCTATCTAATGTTTCTTGTTTGCATGGTATTTGAAGCAACAATGTGAGGTTTCCCGTTTTATGGTCTGTTGTTTGAAATAGTTATTGTTATCCGAATTTTAGTAAGGAATTCTCATAAAACAGTGGTGTCCTTTAATAATTTTGAAAGTATAATCAAAAGACTCATTTGATCTAAAAATAGAATGTTAAACAGTACATTGTGAACAATTTAACCATACATTGAACTTTTCAAAACATTTTCATCTAATGCCAAGAGAGAATAGTCAAATGATGTGCTAAATAAATAAGAGTGATATACGAAAATGTAATATGAACTTAAATGTAAAGAGTCAATTCTTACATCACTCCTAACATTGAAATATATTCAAAGTTAGAATCAATCGTTCGGTACACATGAATAAGGCATAGACTGTCCAACAACCATCGCTTTCATACACTTAGAAATATGGCATTGGAAATGCTGACAGAGAAGATTTTAAAAGGAATTTGCAGCTCATCCCTTTGATTTGTTTGAATGATGTGCTTGTTTATAAATCTCGTAGTTTTATTTTAAAAATTTCATGTAACCTGTGTAGATATAATGAAACCAAGTATAAAAATCGAAGATATATTTTATACGAAAGAATAACTGTCATGCAATGATCTGATCATCAAATTATTACGTTAATGACTTAAAAACGGGATCTTATCATTAAAATGATTTATAAATCTGAGAATAATTCCATTACAATTACTGAATATTGTAGTCTTTAAATCAAAATTAAAATATTTTCAGCTTAAAATAAAAGTGCACTTCTAAAAATGTTCTGTTGACAAAGGATAAAGATGATGTTATTTGTATACTTCGGTATTGGCTGTTAAAACTAGTTCAAATCCTAAAACTACTTTTCAGTCACCTTGAAAATTCCTATTCCTCATGTTTTGTTTCTTGTTTCTTTATTGATATTATGATCTAGCTATTTGTTGGCATTGTAAATACTATAGCTCTAATGTTCTTTTGGGATCAATTAATTCTGAATTCATTCAACTGTGATGTCATGATTGAATTTGCTGAAACACTTATCGTATTACTTGGCTCAGATATTTTACAAGTTAACAATCTCAGTGATATGGAACAAGTAAGTTGTAAAAATTGTAAAAAATTGTAAAAATCACTGAAATGTAAAAGATTAGTTTTCAAAATTGGAAGTTATTTTTTTTTTTGATTTTAGAAATTAACAAGATGCTTCTTTTAGAGTAAACCAATCGTGTAATTTGCTATAAAGCAACACAGATGTAGTGAAACTTTTACTTACTTTTCACACTGCCTCCGAAGTATGTTACTTTTTAATGCATTCAACATGAAGGTGAAATCGTGTAATGCTTGTCGTTTCCAAGACAGTGCAAGTTGCTACCACAATACTTTAGTCTTAAGGGATTTTTTTTATATTCCCATTATTCTCTACTACAGTTTAAAAAACCTGTATAAAATTATTCTGTCAATGATAAACATTTTAAAATTATAATTTTGATAATTTTGCCATAATAAACAAATTTAAAAATGACTTATAGTATGACAATGTATGACTGTTTACTTAAAAACTGTCTTCAGTAGGACTTTTAAGTGAATGAGAATTCCATAATCTTATAAGAAATACTTATCAGATTATAATGTAATAGAACATGTATAGTAGACGGATTATGCAGTGTAAAGATTATTTATTTCTACTGACTAGTTTTGTTTAAATCCATTCCTTTTCGTAGATGATAAGATTGATGTTATTGTCGAAGTAGTCTAAAATGCAGATTTATGGATTTTGCTTATACGAATATAACTGGATACACGAATTTGTGACTAGGCAGTAGTATAGATTTGGTACTTCAAGGTGTAACCGAATCGCCAATCTAAACAAATTTTCAGTGTTGCATATATGCTACTAGTGAGATGTATGAGATGTCATGCAGTAAACTTTTAGCAGTAGGATTTTAAGTGCCTACTGTAAGTTCAAATGTCTTAAAAAATTAATTCATCTACAGTTGTCAGTGTAGCTCATCAAGATTTATTGATAACATATCAAGTTTAAAATGTTACGACTGGAGATCATCTTTTCAAGATAACGTTTTTGAACAGATCAACTAACATGTAACTAAAGATGGTTCAGTTTAGGAACTGATGCGTCGCAGTCAACTGGTATCGAATTAATGATATCTCTGGATGATTGTATAATATATAGAGGCAAGTATCTAATGCGTGGTCATTACATCATCATTCAGTGAAAAATTGAATAAACTCTGCTAACATTCATACACATTTCAAGCTAGTTCTGAAATTACTAGTTCGTCAATCAATATTAATGTCGAAATTTCCTGTATATAAATTGTAAGTTAAAAGATAAATAAAATTCATATAAATTCATATTATTTATCATCTGTAGGTCGAATATGCTGTTCATTTATATTAGTTGTTTGAATCTTCTTATTGATGTGATGGTATATAAGCATCTTTGTGAGAATTACGATTAAATATCATCAGTTTAATTGGAGTTAGCTTGTAGCTGGATTCCACTGTTAACCAAATTCTAACATGTGTTGTAAGCAGTGAATTTGGCAGGATTTATATTTGATTGGTGCTATTCTGTAGTCTTTTACGTAGGAAATGGAGATTCGTCTTAAGATTTGTTGAAAATATTTAAGTAAATCTATGCTTGATTAGATATGTTACTTGAAAAAAATTTTGTGTACATTAATTTTACGTTGTCTAATAATCTATCTTCATAATAAACTAGTATAGAACAATAGCTATTTACTACATGTGAAATAATCATCATCTTATTTCTGATTATTTTTTAACTTTAGCTATTCAAGCATGGACCGAATGAACTTCTAACAAAAGACATAATTCAAACATGGAATATGATTCATTTAGATAAAGTTTTAGATGATAAATACTACAAATTAAATAGACTTTCTGGTAAATTAATGTAAGTCACATGCTGAAGTAATATTTCCAATTTTTTTTGTTAAATTATTTCTGCTTGTTTCTGACAACAGCCATATATATGAATTTCAGAAGAATCCTTGTAAAAATTAAGGAACATAATAGCTATTTTGTTATGAATATAGTTTGGATGGATGAGCTGGTTTAATGGTTAAATTATATAATTTTTAATCACTTGTTAGAATGTGATTGAGTCAAATAGTATGATTGATATCTGTACATGAAGTATAGTAGGTCAAAGCTAACTGTATGAATGTGTACTTGATCAAATCTTCTAATTATAACAGTACATTTATGTGTTTCAAAAAGCGAATATTTAACCAAGAGTACTTCTGAATGTAATTACAATGTATTCTAAATTCCAATTTTAGCTAGGTTATAAACTACATAAAATTTGCATATGTTATCAGAGTACTTTATGCTTAGTAGAATTTTGAGGTAATGATTAGAGTATTAGTGCAAATCAGTAACTACAATTTAATTCGTGTAATTTTATAGGCGTTAGTCTTCCCATAGATTCTACTAAACAGAATAAATTTAAAGTAGAAAAGTTAAAGTCCCAATTTGACTCCACGCAGCATTCGCCATGAAATCTACGTACTTGTAGTAGAGTGAGCCTCATTAGCTGGTTCACCGCCTATTGATCGCATAATAAATGCACAAAACCCACTTATACAGTTGTGCTTTAAATTTCTAATTGCGTATCCAGGTTTGTAGAAACTATTTCAACGGTAAATAAAACTCTTTTCACATTTGAAATCATCAATTAATCATCGTTAGACCACCATTAGAAACCTGGAAGAAGCACTGGACAGCCGTTTCGTCCTGTTTTGAGACTCATCAGTGTGACAGTGCGCATCCACAACTCCTGCACCTCAAACAAATATATATTAATAAAAGCTACCACAAGTCATCTACACAGTAGGATACGTTGATGTATTATTGGTAGTAAAAACGTTTGTATTTACAGAATCTTATTCGAAAAAAGTGGATTTTTGGAATGAAAAGTATAGGATAATCTTGAAAACCAGAACCCACAGGTATAAAAACACACTCGTCTTGGTCACTAAGACGGATTTCGAACATGATACAGTTAAACAATCGACGATTACATGTTGTGACGTCGCATCCCCTTCTGGGATTGAAACAATCCTTCGAGGACACAAATGGTCAAAAATATGACGCCTACTCATGCCTTCTATTGTTCAAGATCATGGTTTCTAGCCAAAACCGAATATTAGGCAAACCGCTACGCAATATACACACCCTTCAGTTTACAGACTATAGTCTCTCTTGCACCACTTGTTTGAAGGTACTCGAATCAAGATAAGTACGTCTATAGTGCAGTTCAGCTAAGAAGGTCAACCTAGCTCCCCGAATCTCTGTCAAGATTTCGTCTGACATCAACCCACTAGGGATGCTAAGACTTCCGAGATCAGTTAACTGGTTGGCAAACTCAACTACTTCATTCCCTACCACTAGCCTAGGCGTTGACGTAGATCAGTCTTGCAACAACATTTTGCATTAGTAGGGAAAGAAACGCATCACAAGTGTGTTTGTAATGTAGCTGAATGCAATCAGAAGACTATGAATTTTGTCACTGTCTTCACCAATCAAGACTTTGACAATCTGAGCCAATTAGGGGAATCTTCTGGTAGGATATTGACTCCTGAAAGTAAGCCAAAGAAAGTGTGATTTCTAGAATGGAATCTATGACGAAATTAAATAAAAAGGGGAAATAACAAGCTACTCTGACGAATACTAAATTGGGTTTACGATTCTGATAACAGTTCGCCATAAGTGTTGAAATGACCAGTAATATTCGAGCAGAAATCCTTCACAAAGTTTGTACTTCAGTATACCTTCTACTGGCAAGTACTATCACCAAGATTGGTGAAGAAACACCACATAGGACAAAGTGGACGTCCTCTTCAGCATTGTCTATTAGAAGTCGAACATGATGACGTTTCTTCCCTTATATTAACACATACGTAGAACTATGGACATTGGCCCTATTTATCAACCAATTAGAAAAATCATAGGCAAATATATGATCGAGAAACAGATCAAAGGGGGATACAATCAAAAAAGAGGTGCAAACACCGACAGGTTTAATGTCAATAACAAACAATCAAGATCGAGGTTCAAAAAACAAGCTACGGGTCATACTTGGCGAAATGGGGGTACCTGACTTCTACCTGAAGTTTTTGTTGATGATGTTGTTCAGAAGAACAATGAAAGCTTCACAACGAAAACGTCCAGCTCAGAGAAAGAAACTCCTCTACAGTCATCTACCTGGGCTACAAATTTTCTCCTCCATCTCACTTTCACCAAATCTCTCGGTTTTCAAAGTTCAAAGAAATAAAATTGTAATCGGACTCTGGTTAGTATACCCACGTTCTATAAACTTAAAGCGAGTCAGCATTTGATCGGTATTTTCACATCTAGGTCTGAAATCAGCTTGACTTTTCCAAGTTTGTTATTAACAAACCTTAGTTATGCATTGGTTGATTATTGGAGCTGACATTATCGACATTAAGTTGGTCAAATTGATTCTTTTAAGGTTTTCAAAAATGGTTTATATCTTTTTTTATATACTGGAACGACCATCCATAAAACATTGATTGAAACTAGAACTTCCAAGAGCTTTCAGATACAACAACATTACACACAATGAATAAAAACTGTCACAATGCAACTTATAACTTCCTTTCAGAGTTCTTAGTTCACAATAAACTTATGCATTCTTTTAGTTCTCGTTAGATTTTATTTTTAAATGACTTTAACTTGAATGTCAATAGTATTCAAGTTATTATTTATCTAACTAGACTAATTAATCTTTGGCAAGACAGTCAACCTATATTTATCATATAATGAATTAGCAAGTCTTCATTGTTTAATCAGCGTCCAAATTCATTGTACTTGAATATCTTAGAGCTTACAAAAAAACAAGCCAAGATACTCACTAACATACACGCATGCAAATTAGCTTGATATAATATCTTGGTACGCATAAATTATAAGCCTATTCATAGTTTACACATTTCATTGGGTAACCATTGATTGTGGAAGAAAAAAATTCTGAACAATCATGATAATAATATGTGCTGTTATGTAAACATAAATTATAACAAAAAAAGCACTAATCTGTACACAAATCATAATTACACGTTTATCAGTCTTATGTACCATCTTTCTATCATTCTATTAATCCGTGTTATTCATGTCAGTGATGAATAAGAATACTACATCTAAGCATTATGAAAATGAAATGAATTATAAATTATTTAACATAACAACACATAGATACGTAAATAAAATGTACTAATGTGTAATAGGTATTTTTTTTATATATATATATACACTAAATAGAAATTTGCATTTTTACTTGAACAACTAAAAATTGTATTGATAGTTAATAGTAGATTTCCAAATTATTTTAGAAATAGGGTTAAATAGGTGTAATGATATGTCCTCTACAGTGTACTTAAAAGTTTATCATTAATTTCGTATGCAACTGAAATTGGATATGAATTTGATTACGAATCAAGTTTATGGTATTAGAAAGATTATATTATATATCTACCTAAAAACAAAAAGTAGATAAAAGTTGAAAGAATTTAAAATATGGATGATATGTAGATGAACATCTCAATTATCCCAGATAACGAAAGTAAATTCTGTTAACGCAGCTTCTGAATAAAGTAATCTAATGGTCAGTCAACTACAGTGTAGGACTTGGTACGTGCATACATCAGTAGCCATTACCACATTTTCACAGGAAAATGGCAGTGCGAGGCTAAACCCCATAGTATCAGATGTGGTAGCGGCAGTTGAAAAGATTTGGGATCGAAGATCTGATTCGAGAAGTTTATCCCAGTGAAATATATTTAAAAAGACAAAAAAGTTATCAAGAATTATCAAGCTCAGAATTTGAGAGAACATAAAAAATGAGTACATCTCTGCCTTTACGAACCATGCTATTGAAAGTCTCCCGCGGACCTTCACGCCAGACAATTCTGAAGCGAAATCTTGAATTTGGCAGGAGAGAATCTCACTCCAAACAAGCTCGTATTGTAGCTTAAGGTAGTCTGAAGACTAAATCTTGTCAGAACATACAGGAACTAGAAACATATCATTCACGTATACTATGTCATCAAGCGAGTCTCCTTATAAATCACTATCTGAAAAGTCAGTTTATGAAAGTGTAATCTCTAGAAGCATGTCACAGACAAAGTTGAATAAGAATTGAGAAAGTGAACAGTCCTGAGGAACATCACTCTAGGTGATAAATTCCGATGACAGTTCGCTATAAGCTCTCACTCGACCACTTGTGTTCTAGTAGAGAGCTTGTACAAAGCTAACGTACTACTTTGGTACACCTTTCAATGATAGACACTGCCATAGAACCTCACGATCGGCAGAGTCGAATGTCGCCTTGAGATCAAGCAACACAACTATAGTGGGATGTCAAAACGTGTGTCTATGTTCCAAGATCTGACGAAGATCCACGTTCAGGTCTAAAGTAGCCTGGTTTTACGAATCTGCTCTTCAGGAGCTCTAGTTACGTTCTGAAGTATCATTGAAGCTTGTGTTTTAGAAACTATATTAGTCGACTGGACTTCCATGTGATTGCCACAAATGAACTTTTCTGCTTTCTTTTAGAATGGGATAACCAGGGTTTCAGATAAGTCAGATGGGATTACACCCGTTTCTTAGATCATAGCTGACGTATCAGTTAATCTAACTGTGAAACCGGACCATCATCTTAAAAATTTCAGGAATTAGTCCATCAGGACCTACTGCTCTATACCGTCTCAGAATGCCTATAGCCTTTCTAGCTTCATTAAGATCCGGAGGACTCGCACCAACTTTCCATTCATGTTGACGGGAGCTCGTGGGTAAATGAAGTGTGGATGAAGGCTCCCTATAATGTTCTGCCCATCGATCCAATCTCCTTGGTTGAGAATGAATAATAGTCCCATATTTTCCCGAGAGAGCCTCATTTGTAGCCAAATCATTAATTCCCTTTACCTTAAGAAGTCTGAACAGTTTACTGTTCACTTCTGCCGTTCCCATCACTTTTGCTTTCGTTACCTACCACTGCTCACAATCATTATGTAGGCTTTTTGTCAACCCGTGATTAACCTATCTCCGCTCAATCTACTTACTTGACTATTAAGATCACCAGTCACTATTACTACATCAGTGATCATTTCAAGTTTATACTCATTTAAATTTCAAAAAATTTATTTTTAATTACTACTTACATCAAGTTATTGTAATATTTCATTTAGTTAGTCGCAGTTCTGTGCAAAATACTCTCTGTAAGTGAGTTACAGAATAACAGTCGGGGAAAGTTCTAGAATAATTGAACAGGAAAATAAATTATTTCTTCGTATAATTCAAAGTATAAACATTTTATTTTACTTAATAATGGTTCCTCAGATGAAGTTTTAGGGCTTAAAGCAATAATCACACCCAGTCCTTCTTCAGCTCTTCCGTAGTTATTTTAATTATATTACTGTTATCATTAGTGACTATAAATTAACGGGGTAACTAGTATTGATTTAGATGATAATCAACTTAAAAATATCTTAACGTTTTCATAAACTGAACTAATTTAGTAACAATCATGTTTTCGTTAGTCATTCACTTTAAAATGAATTTCTTGAAATTCTATTAGAAAGTGTTAATTAGTGAAACCTATCATATCAGAAATGAGATAGCGGTTAGCAATAACATTAAACATGATTTGAGTTATTTTACGAACTGTTTGAAATGGAAAATATTTATAACATAGCTCAAAACTGTATCGCATAGATCAAGAAACTTAAATGTTTTGTATTCAACCTAGAAGTGATTTAAATGTGGACACAGAGGAATGTTCCAAAATTTGAAAGATGAAAATTTTCATTGTGGTTCAGTGATTTTTCCATTTGTCATAAGAATTACCTTCGGTATACACGAGTTCATTACTAATTTTGGTATCATTGAAAATTGATTGCTGTAGAATCCCATTGATACTTGATGTTGAATTGTCATCATTTGAAAGAGTCAATTACATTATTGAGCTACGATCGATAATCCATCTATGATGTAAAACATATTATTTATACAAATGTATACTGAAAGATAAACGGGAAAATAGACTAACTAAGCAAGATTTAGTTTGTATAAAACAATCACTAAAATTCTCAAGAAATAAACAGAGTAGTAATTCCATAAGTTCACCTGTTAAGCCACATCGAGTTTTTAAACCATTTATATTGGCCGTTTGAATATTCCCACTGACATTTAGGAATGTGTGGATTGCCTTGATAGTGACATAAGATCACAAACAATCAAATGCCAAAATAGGCTTATTATCAATCAGAAAATTCACAGAACCATGACAAATGAGTTGAATGTCACTTCATTGCACGAACCAGTGGGAACATGAACTCAGTAGCTAAGTTGACAGTGCAATGAAGTCAAAAAGTGGTTGCTACTGCGTTTGATCCCCGAAGTGGATATCAACCTACAGAGGAAAAAACGCATATCTTTAACTGTACTGCTAGCTACCAACTAACTCTCCTGATAGTTGTATTTCTTAAATAAAATGTCATTAGGTAGTTTAAAAACCAATTGATTGGAATTTTTCAAATCAGTCCTATTTCTTAACTTGTTGTAATCTGTCACTACTCATACACTTTATTTTAGATCAATAACAAAAGAAATACAAGAAACATCAAAGAAAGATGTTAATTTTTATCTACAAGAATTCACTATACATAATATAATTGTAACAACTGTGACGGATTCAAGAAAAGTAAGTTTTTGCCATAACATTTTTCTCAGCAAGATATTTTATGAATCATTTTATTAGTAAAAACAAAATACTGAATAATACTTTATACTAAGTTAGATTTTAAAATAGTTGAATCCTGAAGTATCATTCTCTTATTTTAAAAAACTATATATATATATATATATAACTGTTCTTAAGTTTCAGATACAGTCTCACTTTGTCATTATAAAGTCCAAAGTGTTGATAATAAAAACTTATTTGAATTCTTCGTTTTCATCATA